TTTTGGTTGATTTTGTAGAACACCAACGGGATAGATGAATACCAAACTCGGTTTTTTTTTTTTTTGGTTTACTGAAATATTTTAATATGTTACAACAATAGTATTTGTAATAATTTTTTTACAAATTATAGTTGATTTTGCAAAACACCAATGGGGTAGATGAAGGTTAAAATGCTTTTTTTATTTATTTATTATATTTGTTTTACTGAAATATTAAAATATGTTATAAGAAAAATAACTTTTTTGGGGATGTTTTTTAAAATTATGGTTGCTTTGTAGAACACCAACGGGGTACATGAATTTTAAAATGATTGTTATTTCCTCGCCAACAAGAGCAGAGTTATCGAACGATTGATTTTCTCATGTACAATCCCACGTACTATTATGGTTGCTTTTTTAGAACACCAACGCGGTAGATGAATTTTGAAATGTTTTTTTAATATTTTTGTTTTACTAAAAAATTTTACAACAATTTTTTTTTAATATTGTTTTTTTTAAATTATGGTTGATTCTTTTTTAATATTTTTTTAATAATTTCAAATGTTTTACTAGGAATGGCAACGGGGCGGGGCGGGGCCGGGGACTATCCCCCCGTCCCCGATCCCCGAAAGTAATACTCCCCCCGTCCCCGTCCCCGATCCCCGACGGGGACCCCTATCCCGGCCCCATCCCCGCCCCCGATCGGGGATCGGGGATCCCCGACCCCGGATAATCCCCGTGAATATTGTTTATATATGTAAAAATCTATAAACATCAATAAACATTCTCAATCACCCTTCACTACTGGATGTATAAATTTTGGAATTTATCAGTTGGAATATCAACCCTAATAGCTTCATTTTTTTAATTAATTAGAACTGTAGCAACATCCATAAATCTATAGCAACATCCATCAGTTGGAATATGATTTTTTTAATTAATTAGATCAATAAATATCAATAAACATCCATTTAAAAAACATCATCTGTAGCAACATCCATAAACAAAGCTATCATCAATAAATCTGTAACAACATCCATCCTAATCAATAAATATCAATAAACATCTTGTAGCAAAACATTAATAAACATTAATTCAGCAGCCCATACATACACAACCCACACACAAAGCATCTTGTAGCAACAAAATAACACAACCAAAACATGTGTCCAGCAGCATACAAGAAAATTCAACAAGTAGCAAAGAGAATAATTAATCCCAAGCACAACCCGCAAGGGATAGGTTACTCAAAAATTGAAATTAAAAATAAAAATAAAAATATCCATTACAACGAAAAAAGCCAAATCCATTGTTTCTTCAAACCCATACAAACCACACAACTTCCATCATCTCCTTCAACTTGAACTCCTGTTAAATAACAAAAGGAAAAAAAATAAATAATTAATACTAATAATAAAAAGTAAAAAATGTTAATTACAACAAAAAAGATGACAACTAAGAAGTGTTGTGATGCATAAAAACATCAAAGTTTATTTAGTAATATTGGCTATAAGAGGGCCTTTTTTTTTAAATTTTTTTTATGTAGTTCAAAAAAAAAAAACACAATCTTTTCTCTTATTTTCTTCTCTCTCTTAACTTGACAAATTATTTCTTTTCTTTTCTATTCTAGCTTGCCAAACATAGTGTAAAACTAGCTTTACTTTACTGAAACATAGCCAATTTTGTAGAAACTTTCCCATTCTTCGTAACAATCTATGGAGACTAAGATTAACATGAATAAGCTCCACATGCAAAGAAGCAATAGAATCAAAATACCAAATAATTTACATTTCTTGAGACTAAGATTTGAATTAGATAAATTTTTCTTAAACTCTGCAATCAATCAGTGCTATTTCATGGATAAGTGAAATTGAATTAAATCTGGTTTCATGAACATGTGCAGGAGAATAAAACAAGGCTAGTAGTACAAGTCAAGAACAATTCTAATTGACCAAATAATTTGATAATCAGAATAAGGGTCCATCTTTTCCATGAAAGCAAACTTGTACACAACCCCTGTGAAGAGCACCACCTCCAAGATACTTGTTAGCAAAATCCACTTCAAGAGCTTCACAAGATTGATCTTATATCAAGCCAGACCTGTAAACCTACAACAACAACAAAGATGAAAAACATCATATCCTTGCAGTAAACCATTGAAAGTTGGGTTACTAAACCAACGAAAATGTACACACAAATTAAACAAGTATATATGTTCCTTTGTTACCTTGAAACGACAGAGAGGAATAGAAGATGTGCTCCAAAAATCAGCCTTTGGATAAGAAACACAAGGAAAGCTATTTTCCAAAGGAAGTATTTTACGCTCAAAGGAGACAACACCCACAGGCATACAAGAGCATATCCTCTCAAAATAGTGTGTGATGCATTTTATTTTATTCTCTTGCATTTCATTATGACTGTCATAGAGACTCCTGCAGACACATGAATATGAGATGAACCTATTTCCCTGATAAGAGAAAAAAGAAATTGATCGATTCATATATGATAGCACAAAACTCATATATGAATCAACAAAGCCAAATAAATACTGCACCTTTCTTAGTTTATATAGATGACCAATGCATGTTCTTAATAAAATTTTAAACATTCAGGTAAAACATCATCATTTAACAATATTGCGAACACCTACTCTCTTTTTTTTTTTCTTCAAAAAATAAGTATAACCTTCTTCCCTATCAAACTATACAAAATAGCCAAAAACAACACTTAAGCCTATATAGAGACTGCTCTACTCCAATCTTAATACCAAAAACAACACTTAATACCAAATAATTTCCAAAATAAGCTCCATAAATGTAAATCTACAGATTAGCTAACCAATCTTTGTTCCATATCATGATCAAGACCAAAATTCAAAGCATCCAGAAGCTTAGAGAGACTCCTAATCCAACTGATTATCAATATAAAATAGATCGAAATCTGGGAAACCAGATCTATATTGTAAAAAATACTAACATGTAGGGCTAAAACAATATGTAAGATTGGCTAGTAAGCATGGTTTATACCACACCTATATGAAGCATATGAAATCTCACCAAACCAGCCAAAAACAGTGAAAAAAACATGTCAAAATATGCCCAAATACCCACTGAAATGAGGTCTACACATGTAAGAACGATGAGCTCCTTTGATAAGCTACAAGAGGGGTTACTCTACACATGCATCAAGGATACTTAGCATAGCAAAACCAACTCATGGGGGTCCTAAAACCTACTGAAAAATGATAGAAACAAAGCTTGGAAGCTTGCAAATAGGGGGTCCTTTGGAAGGCCCAAAAGGCCACCAAACAAGACAAGGAGAGAGAGGGTTACCTCCCTCTGATTTTAAGGCTCAAGAATACACCTAAGCCACTGAAAATCCACTAGATTTCAGTGGCTAAGAGGCCAAACCAAGGCCAATGCAAATGCTCTAATGTATAGCCCTAATCATGAGGAAATGAAGCATGCAAAAGGGAAGATGACCCCCAACAGAAAAATGCCCTTAATCAAACTTCAAGCCCGGATATCATTGGGGATGGATTTTTGAATACCGTCCCCCGGCCTGTAGGGGATATTTTTCGGTGAATAACCGCTGAATTCGGGGTCGGGAGGTCGGGTCACCGTCGGGCTGGTTTCAGATTGCCATCCCTAACCGGGGCGGGGCTGGGGATCACACTCCCCGTCCTCAATCCCCGATGGTAGAAATTTCTCCGTCCCTGTCCCCGGCCCCGATCCCCGACGGGAAGCCTATCACCGCCCTCGCCCCTTAACGAGGATCGGGTTTCCCTGACCCCGAAAATTCCCCGGCCAAAATTAAAAAAAAAAAAAAAACAACAACAACAATAACAACAACATCATCTATATTTAACAACAGATCAAATATGTACAACAACAAATATGTAGAACAGATTAAAAAAACAGATCAAGTTTAATGATCAGATCAACAACAACAACAACATCTATTTTTTTTATCTATCGAACCAACAATCAGATCAGATCAGTTCAAGAAACAACATCTATTTTTTTTTCATCATCATCATCATCAACAACAATCAACTTAAAAACAAAAAAAAAAGATCTGAAATTGTTATGTACTTGCACACACGGATCAGATCAGAGAGAGATGAGGTAGGAAGATGGTGATGGTGGATCTGGATCTTGCACACACAGAACAGATCAGATCTCACGGCCAGTGGTAGTGGTGGTGGTGGATCTGGATCTTGTGGTTGAGCTCCGGCGGCGGAGCGTGTTCGAAGCAGAGATGAGGTCGTGGAGGAGAAGAGGATGTTGCAGCTACGAAGGGAAGTGGTGGTCGAATACGGGAGTGGTGGTCGACGACGGTGAGAACAAAGATAAAGGGCATGAAGAGAGAGAGAGAGAGAGAGCGCGCACAAGAGAGAGAGCGCTGACTGAGAGAGACTTGAGTGTGAGGGTTCATTTACATATAAATATATATATATATATATAGGGGGTACTATAGTAATTTCACTTCGAGGACAAATGGGGACGGGACGGCCCGGGGCTGGGACACTTATCCCCGACCCCGACCCGAAACTGATTGGGGATTAATTTTTGAATACCATCTCCGTCTCGTTGGGGATATTTTTCGGGAAAAAACAGTTCAAATTGGGATCGGAGGGTCGGGTTCCATCGGGCCGGGTTTAAATTGCCATCCCTAATTCCATCATACCAAATGTGCTCTAAGGATTTGTTTGGCATAAACTAAATAAGTGCACTTATTTATGTCACATCACCTCCATATTTTTCTGCACATTTTTTCATAAAAAGTCAAACAGTATACTTATTTAGATTATCCCAAATAACTCCTAAGACCTCATCTGACAACACAATTTTTAAACTTAAAAATTAAAAAATTATTAAAAAAATTAAGAAGTCTACTATTTTATCCTATAATCCTATCCATAAAATTCAAATCACGTGATGTCTACAATAGGTTAGGTAAAATGACTTTTTTACCCCTCAATTATGTCAAAAATCTGAAATTGATGGATTGATTTAAGTAGAGTTCAGCTGCAGCACTTCAATAAACTTGTCACATCAAACAAGATGAATAAAGAGAGGGATAGACTCCATTTAACCAAGGCAACGCAACACCAATAGAGAAATCCTCCCACCCTCCCGCAGGTCCAAGGCAGCGCCCCATGAGGAGATCACCAGGGTATTTTGTTGTCCGTTCCGAGTAAGAGACTATAACCTGGAAGCTTGTCCCGACCTCCCAAGGCAAGCTTCGATTAAGTCAGGACTCGCACAGCGGGGGAGCATTAAACCCACACCAAGTAGCTGATTAGGCATCCTTGAGGTCCAACCTCCTAACCAATAGTGCTTCGCCCAAGAGATTGGCCCAATGGGGGAATTGAACTTGTGACCTTGGGGCTTAAACCCCAAGGCCTTACCACAATGCCACAACCCCTTGGGTTAAAAAAAAAAAAAAAAAAAAAAAACTAAAACTCAACCTACTTACTAATGTGCGTTTTTACTTTACGTTGATATTGACTTTACTTGCAAATGAAACCAATTTTACTTCTTACAATATAACCCTACTTACATTTCTCTATAATAATAATAATAATAATAATAATAAAAATATTACCCTACTTAGTAAATCTTTCGAGTATGTTAAAAGTAATAATTTTGTACTATAGTAGGTCCCTTCAAGGACTTCAGCGCCTAGTCTGTCTTCACTCTCTCCTTTCTGCTTACGATTTTAAAATTTGTGAATTTTTTTTTTTCCTTTTCATTTTTGTGTAAGCAGAAGCCTCTCTTACAAAAGTATATATAATTTATCACAGAGTTTGTTCTTATGTAGTCAAATAGAATGCAATGTTGTTTGATTGTGAAATTATCTTTTATACAATTAGATTAGATGAAATTATTGATAGAATTATGAGTGATAAGTTATGTTAGGAGGTTAAGTGAGATAAAAAATTTGATACATGATATGTGTTAGAATTGATGTATAAAAAGAAATAGAGAATTGTATTATTGATTGATATAATGTTCATATCTATTACAATGATTCATGATTCCAATATATAGAAGAGGGTGAGTGTGTAGTAGGTAAGGAGTAGATGAAGTGGAGGTGGTAGTGGTGTAGTGGGTTAGGTTTAGTGGAGTAGGTTTAAGTGGGTGAAGTAGGTGGAGAGTAGGTGGATTTTAACAGCCCCCCGCAAACTCAAGGGGGATAGGAACTAACCAACTTGAGTTTGGAGAGAGTAACAAAACAAGAAAATACATAAAAATAAAAGAGGATAAGAGACACTGTATGGTCGTGTCAGACCATTGGTGAAGACACTGGATGGTGGTGTCATAACGTTGTAGAGGACACTGTATGGGGGTGTCATAACGTTGTAGAGGACACTGTAAGGTGGTGTCACTAGATGCTTGTTTTTTGCACAGATATCTTGCCATTTGAGTAGTGCCGATCTTCCAAGAAAGTATTAAATTAACTAAATTAATTTGGTCATTGTTCGCCTTAATTTGTCTTTTCAATTTCTTTCTTCTTCCAATGTGATCTTTGATTATTTCATGTTTCTTGTTCAAACATGATTTAAATAATTCTTCGAATTGTCATGGAGTTCTTGTGGCTTGAAAATTTTATAAGTGGTGTTTGATAACCAATGAAAATGAATTGTGTTTGATAACTACAATTCATACAGCTTAAAATTTTAAGCATATTTTAAAATATATAAAAATTAGGGTTGGTTTGGGGTGTCCTAAAAAAGTGCACTTTTTGTCTTTTTAGGAAAAGATATACAGAAAAGTAGAGAGGTGATGTGATGAAAAAAAGATAAAAAGATGGATTATATAGTAGATGCCAAACCAGGCCATAAATCTAGAAATCACCATTTCAAACTCTAAAAATATAAAACATTAAATTAAACCTTTTAGAGAGATGTTCTTACCAATTAAAGGGGTACTAGCATGGAATAAAATAATATATTATTTATTAAAAATGTGATAATTATATTTAATTTTTTTATATTTTTTCTTTCGTAAATAAAATTTTACATATAAGTTTAAGAGTTTTGTTTCAAATGTTTCTTTACTATAACATATAATATAGATATATTAAAATTGTTGTATTGACAATTAATAATTAAAATTATGCTTTGTTATAAAAAAAATGACATAATTCTAATATTAGTTTTAAAAACTTAATGAGTAAGAAAGAAACATCACATCCAACCCATAATCATTACATTCTTTCTCTTACAAAAAGTCAAAAAAGTCAAAAAGTCATTCCCAAACAAGGCTTTTTAGCCTCAGGCAAAAATAATCAAAAAGTTAAAAAACCAAACCACTTCCCAAACCAACCCTTAATCAGTTAAGTTAAAAGACCAACCAGCTTACACAAAAATTAATTAATTAAAACTTTTAAATTTT